TGCTTAACCTACTGAGCCACCCAGGTGCCCCAGCCTTTCTTCTTTTTTAATATAGGAACTTAAAACTGTAAACATCCCTCCTAAATAGCATGTCAAGTTATAGCCTATACATCTGGGGGAGGGGAAAAGGATTATTATTATTTTTTTTTACTATATACCACTTTGCATTGAAAAATATTTAATGGCATGGAGATACACTTTTAGTAATGTGTTGTTAAATATCAAAACCAAATAAAGTGTGAACATGATTCAATTATCCCAAAAAAGATACAGCTGTATGTATTTGTGTCATACATGTATAGATACAGGATGAGAAGGAAACAGAGTAAATTATAAGCAGCAGTGAACTCAGGGTGGCAGGGCTCCAGCATTTTTAGTTTTCCCTCTACTTTTCTGTAATCCTTTTGTACCTTTCTGTATTTCCATAATGAAAATGAATTATTTTTATAACCAGAGAGGTTTACAAAAGAGGAAAAACAACCAATACACGAAGCAGGATGCTAGAGGGAGAAACGGTCTGTTCGTGTTGTCCCAAATAAGCACTATCGGATTTCCCGTTAGAGTCCCAGCCTCACGGACACGAGCAGACAACCGGGAGAGAATCAATGTGCCCTGGGACACTGGGTGGCTAAGAGCTGACCCGTGTCCGGTTTTGTGATCTCATGTGCCTCGTGCTGTGCTACATGCAGCCTCGTCCTCTTCTCCCTCAGAGACAAGATGTGAGGGTGGAATGGTCAACAGTCTATAATCCGCATTCGAGACTGGGGTTTCAAAAGAGAAACAACAAATGCTCCGGGAATCTGAATGTTTCATGTGGCACATACACAATTTTTGAGCTACATTTGCTCTTCTGGGCTGTCTACTAGAGAGAAGGAAAAGTAAATGGCTTTTCTGATGAAATGCCAAGAGAAGGCTCTGATGACATTAGAAAAGATCTCCCTCGTTTATCCACTCATTGTTGACTTGGAGGATAGGTCTCCCCATCTTCAGAAGCAAGAACAATGCTTAATTCCTCTGACGTCCCAAGACGAGAAATGATATATCGCCAGAAAGGTTATTACTGAAACATGGCATTTTCTATCAGTTGCGGGTCTGAGTCAGTCCATCCATCCGTCCAATCATTCATCCATCCATTCGTCCAACTATCCACTCAGCCTAATGAATATACATATAAAAACAATTATGCATTATGCATAGTAATGCTGCAGGGAAGGGAATAAGATATTATCCTTGCCCTTGAGAGCCTCATGAGCAAACAAAGAGAACTATGTACAGAACTAATTATAATGCAAGTTAGACTAAGTGCTAGTGTTTATCATCTGTATGTGAAATGCTGAGGGGAGACAATATAAAAGCATAAGTTATTTCCCCTGCCTTAACGTGATGGACAATCTCACATTCTACATAGAGAATGTAACCCGAGAGACAGTTCCATAACAAATCCTGATGATATTCCCTTGAGTGACCCTGGACTCAGAGTTCAAGGAGAGCAAGCTAGGAGAAAGACATTCCCAGGTCCAGAGATGTGCTCTCCTCCAGGTCCTCTGAGGCAACAATGGTAGGTCTCTTGAAAATGTGCGTCTCCTCTGTGTGTGGGCAAGTCTGCTGGCACAGGGTTTTACAAGCTGTTTTCATCAGCTTCTTACCTGCTCAACTGAGATTCCCAGGCCTCACGAGACCTATTGCTTAACCAAGATACAGCTCAGTTGCACTGAGGACTGACAAGACTGGCATTCAAGGCGGTAACATGAGCAGGTAGATGCCCTAACTGCCCCAGGAACCCATTTTCTAGACCAGCTCTGCCCCAAAGAACTTTCTGCAATGATGGAAGGACATTGTGCAATACTGCGGCCACCAGCTCATGTGGTCCGTGAGTACTTGAAATGTGGCCAGTGAGACTCCAGGATGAAATTCTTAATTTTATTTCATTTTAATTTTAATACATTGAATTCAAATTAAAATGCCTTAATTGTGATTAATTCAAACTGAAATCGTGGCTGCTGGCTTGGAAGGCAAAGGGGTTCTGGATCATGGAGCTCAAGGACATGTGAGGGAAAGAGGTTTCCTTAAGCTAATGGGCGCCCTGGTGAGTCACAGAATCACTCAGCTACCCAAGTGGGTCAGACTGGACCTTGACTTTCAGCAGTCGGATGGGCTCATGCCACAGGGTTCAGCTTCTCCATCCCCTCTCCGCTTCCACCAACTGCAATCTGGTGGTTTCAAGAATTTTTAGTCTGATGAAACAAAGGACTCACAAGACCACTGAATCCAAATGCCATCAACCTAAATGCTGTCCTCTACTCGTGCCACTGCTGGACTCTAAAGATCAGGATGCCTTCAATGGCACAGCAATAAAGCCTACAATGGGGCCCAAGAATCCAAATTACTAAAAAAAAAAAAATGGATCAGGACTCCTGGGTGGCTCAGTCGGTTGGGTGTCTGACTTCGGCTCAGGTCACGATCTCACGGTTTGATTCATGAGTTCGAGCCCCACATCAGGCTCTGGGCTGACAGCTCAGAGCCTGGATCCTGCTTCGATTCTGTGTCTCCCTCCCCTGCCCCCTCCTCCCTCCCACTCACACTCTGTCTCTAACTTTCTCTCTCAAAAATAAATAAACTTAAAAAAAATTGATCTAGGTACTTCTCCTGTGCCTTTAGAAACCACGTTGGCTCACGTCAGAAGAAGTGATACAGTATAGAACGTATTACAGTGGGAGCATTTACTCACACAACAAATATTTATTGAGAACACAATATGAAGAAGATATGAGTGTAGGTTAGGGAAACTGCAGTGAACAGGACAGGCCAGAGTGCTGTCCTACGGTCTAGTGGGAGACAAAAATAACCATGAGCAAATAAAGAGATGATTTCAAGTAGAGGATGTTTGTTGACGTGTGGAAAACAAACTGTGTAAGGAGAAGAGGGCACTGGATTTAAGAGCTGCTTTAAACTTGTGTGGTCATATAAGGTCTGTCTCCAGACGTGATGCTGAAGCCGAGACCTAATCAGTGCTGCGTTCATTATGTGGTGGTCTGAGGGAAAAGCATTCCAGGCAGAAGGAATAGCAACGTGCAAAGTTCCTGAGATAGAAACAAGCCAGGGCTGTTGGAGGGCAAAGGGAAAGAAAGGCGAGAGGACAGAAGAGATCCAGAGGTTGGATCCTGGGGTGTCTAACATTAACAGGGCAATCAGGAAGAGAGTAGGAGAAAGCAATAGTGTGACAGGAGGAAAACTGAGAAAACGAGGTGTCACGGGACCCCAGAGAAAAAAAACTTTAAGGAGGAGGGAGGAGTCAACTGTGACAATAGCTGCTGTTGTTTTTGTTTTTCTTTTTTGTAAGATGGATCAAAGAATGGACTTCTGGGTTAAGTAAGAGGAGGTCAGTGGTCCCACTCTCATGGGGGTAGGGGTGAAGAAGGTGGCTGGGAGAGAGTGGGAAGTGAGAAGATAGAGATGGTGATAACATGTAATTTTGGAGGAATTTTACTATAAGGGGAAACAGATGAGCCATGGTTGGATGGGAATTAAGGTCAGGGAAGTTTTTGTTTCATTTCTTTAAAATGTTTTATTTATTCTTGACAGAGAGAGAGAGAGAGCGTGAGCGGGGGAGGACCAGAGCAAGACAGGGACACAGAATCCAAAGCAGGCTCCAGGCTCCGAGCTGCTGCCACCACAGAGCCTGACGCGGGGCTCGAACTCACAAGCTGAGAGATCATGACCTGAGCCGAAGTCCGACGCTCAACCGACTGAGCCACCCAGGCAGCCCTGTTTCATTTTTGATTTCAACATGAGCCATTTCAAGTCAGAGGTACATATCAATGGGAATGATACTGGAGTAAGAAGGATTTTGATGGTGCAAAATGATAAGCAATTCCCACTGTCCTATGAGAAATGAGTCTGCGGTCCCCTGGAGAATCCTTCCTCGCCCAGGAGTCAGACAGTGAGAACTGCCTCTGTGAACACTCTTGAGTTTCCACGTATGAAAACAAAGGCTTTTAGTTGGATTGGACAATGGGAGTGTGGCCACTAACAGCTGACATCATGGTCTTTTAACAACTCTTGGGGTGTGATATCATCAGTTGGCATGAATCTTACCACCCAGGGAGGCATACCGCTCATGATATGGCCCCTGGAGGAGTGGGAAACACTGAGGGACTCCCCGACCCTGGTGCTCCCTTGAGTGAGAGCCAAACATAGTGCAGTCTCCTGGGACATCCACCTGCTACTACAACCTAGTGCCAGTGCTGTGCCCCTCCCGAGATGACATGGGCGGGTCAGAGGTTTAGGATCGTTGGCTTGCTCAGCCGGGATCAGCCTCCTTTTACCTTTATCACCCGTTGTCCTTTTTTGCCCTTACCAATCAGTCCCTTTTAGGCAGTGGACACTCAGGAGGCACCAGGAACTCGGTGTGGGAGGGCTGGTTCCTTCCTCCACCTCTGTCTTTCTCCTGAATTGCTCTGCCGTAGGTGGTCGAAAGGAAATGCGTGAGTGGAGATGAAACCCGTCGCACTCTACACATCAATAAGATACGTTGCTACAGAGTCTGGCCCATGAGATGGTTTCTCTAAAAGGGATAGAATACTTCTGCTTTCCCCACAAACCCCGAAACATAGGATTTTTCAACAAGTGCCTCCAAAGACCTGGTCATGAACTTGGCAGAGCAAATGGCTACCCTCCAGACCCTAACAGTGGGCAAGGGACTCAGATCCACCTGTAGAGTCCAGTTTGCCAGGAATCAACGCATATTTAAAAAAAGTCTGCTTCTGGGGCGCCTGGGTGCCTCAGACGGTTGAGCGTCCAACTTCGGCTCAGGTGATGATCTCACGGTCCGTGAGTTCGAGCCCCGCGTCCGGCTCTGTGCTGACGGCTCGGAGCCCGGAGCCTGTTTCGGATTCTGTGTCTCCCTCTCTCTCTGCCCCTCCCCTGCTCAGGCTCTGTCTCTCTCTGTCTCAAAAATAAATAAACATTTAAAAAAATTGAAAAATAAATAAAGGCTGCTTTTTAAACGGCATGACAGGTTGCACCTCCAGCCCCCCTTGAACAACTGCCTCATCCTTCCCAACCAAACTGCCAGCGATCCATGCTGGTGAGGGCACCCTCCCATATCAGGGTGTCTGGGCTGAGAAACGCATGTGCGGGTACTGTTCTACAATAACTTAGAGGGCTACAACACTCAGAGCCAGGCGTGGTTAAAATGAAGCTTACTTACTCAACACAGAGAGCTTTGGTGATCGCTGTTACTGGAGGAAGCCATTTGGGCAAATACTAGAAAGCACAGCTGTGGGGTGCCCTGCGGCGAAACTGCCTTCTCTTTGCTTTCACGGGAGCTTGTGTCTGAATGAGAGAGCTCCACTGGCCGCTGGGGGACAATAGAAAGAAAGATCAGATGTCACCATGTAAGCATTAAATAACCTGTGACTCCAGGAAATACCACTGAGGCAGGAAGTCCGAGGAACAGCCCTGGGCTGGCGGGTTCCGGACTGAAACCTTGCCGGGTCTTTTTTTTTTCTTCCCCTTTTTTTAATTCTTGAGGGACTGGGCTAAAGGCATTGTTATGGAATTGCAGAGCAATTGATGTAATAATTCATAAGCAATATCAATTGAAATAGTGATTTGGCCATGGTTTGTGAGTCATAATAGAATAATAACATTGTACCCATCACACAAATAATTATGAATGGGAAAAAGCTTGACAAGGACAGAACATTTAAATCCAAATGAGCAAAGTAATAGAAGCAGGACGTTCTGGAAGGGTGCATTTGGCCTCTGCATGTTCTCATTGAAACGGACTTGCTCCTACCCCTTCAGCTCAATGTAAAACCTCGTGATGATGGTTGACCAGGACACCTGGGAAAGACTCAGCAAAGAGAACTTGGGGACAGTCACATCCTGCTTCCAGCACAAAGATCTGAGGGAACGTGTGAGGTGTTCTCAGGGCAGGAAACAGTCACTAGGTGGCTTGCTTAGCGAATGCGTTCAGCTACCATGGAATTTCTAAACCACTTTGCTTTAAACGGCCTTTTTGTATCCAGAGAGGACCCGTATGTGGCAGAAATGGTGAGGTTGATCTTCAGTAGCTGCCCTCCCCTTTGCCGTCCCTTCCCCCTCCTATAACTAGCACGCTCCTAAGCGCTCATGCCTTTGATGAAGCAGAGGGGCCCTTTGAAAAGCAGGACTGGTTTGGGCTAGCAGCCTGGGCTTGAGACCCAACACCATGGACTGGTTGTGCGACCTTGAGTAAGTTATTTCACATCTCCGGGCTCAAGTTTACTCATCTGAGCAGATCTCCCAAAGGTGCCTGTGCATTAGGGACAGGGGGGTTGTGGGGGGCGCCTGGGTGGCTCAGTCGGTTAAGCATCCAACTTTGGGTCAGGCCGTGATTTCACACTTTGTGCGTTCGAGCCCCACGTCGGGCTCTTTGTTGTTAGTGCAGAGCTTGCTTTGGATCTTCTGTCCCTCTCTCTCTGCCCCTCCTTTGCTCACCCTTGCTCTCTCTGTCTCTCTTTCAAAAATAAATAAATAAACATTAAAAAAAAAAAGGGACAGGTGAGTTGGGTAACCAATGTTGAACACAAAGGCATGAATACCTGATCCTGACTTCCAAAGCCTGTGCCCACTGGGAGGCCTCTTAGGCAGGTGCATTCAAATGGTGACCAAGTCTTTTCTACTTGGACATAAGGTCATCCTTGGCTCCAGATTCCTGGGTGCACTTTGTGTGATTGTTTGGGACACCTCATCTTGTCCATACGCCCTTTGAAGAGCCAGCGAGGAATCCAGAAACTGGATTTACTGAGGGCCACAGAGAGTGGTCCTAGATTCTCCCAGAGCCCCCTCTCACTAGGAGTATGGGGCTCCCTCCAATGGCGAGGGGCCTACTTCGCATATTTGGACTTAGCAGGGCCAATGCTCATACCCAACCTAAGTACTTTTGCTCTGCTCCCTTGTACACAAAAGGCACAGGTATCCCCCCAGGACTCGCATCGGGGGAAAAAACAACTAATTAATATAATTTGACTTTGCCTGGTCCTTGATGGCTGAATGATTGATTGACACTAGTGCTTTTTGAGTCCCAACGGCAACAAACAAACAAAGAAACAAAGATGAATGACGTGCGAAGGTCGTATTTTCGTAAATGCTTATGAGCAAGTTGGAGGGGATACAAAGGGAAATCATGCTTTATACTCGGATGCATCCCTTCCCTTGTGCTGCCAGAACATGCTACAGTAAATTGGGTGGCTTGAATCGGCAGAAATGTATCCTCTCTCAGGTCTGGAAGCCAGAGGTCTGAAATCAAGAGGCAGCAGGGCCATGCCTCCTCCAGAGGCCCTCCGGGAGACTCCTTCCTTGCCCTGTACCTCAGCTTCTGGTGGGCCCACGCATTCCTTGGCTCCCGGCAAAATACCTCCAATCTGTGCCCCCCTCTTCACATGGCCCTCTCTCTCAGTGTCCCTCTGTGTGCCGACCTCCTTCTCCTTTCTCTTACAAGGGCATCAGTCATTGGACTTAGGGCCCTCCCTAAAGCCAGGATGCTCTCAAGATCCGTAACTAATTACATCTGCAAAGACCCTATATCCTCAAGGTCAGAATCAGACCTATAAATAGAGAAGAAACTGATGGCTGTCAGAGGGAAGGAGGTGGTGTGGTGATGGGCAAAATGGCCACGGGGAGAGGGAGCTGGGGGCTTCCAGTCATGGAATGAATGTCACGAGAATAAAAGGTACAGCACAGGGAATATGGTCAGTGGTACCGTAACAGCTCGGTGTGGTGACATATGGTGGCTACACTTGTGGGGAGCACAGCATAATGTATACATGTGGAATTGCTATGTTGAACGCCTGAAGTTAATGTAACATCGTGCGTCAACTATACTCAAATTAAGAAAAAAAATACAAAATAAGTCTTGAATTCTACTCCTGAAACCAATGCTACACTCCATGTTAACTAACGTGAATATGATTTTAAAAGATCTGGGGGGCACCTGGGTAGCTCGGTTGGTTAAGTGTTGGACTTCGGCTCAGGTCATGATCTCGCGGTCCGTGAGTTCGAGCCCTGCGTCGGGCTCTGTGCGGACAGCTCGGAGCCTGGAGCCTGATTTGGATTCTGGGTCTCCCTCTCTCTCTCTGCCCCTCCCCTGTTCGTGCTCTCTATCTCTCTCTCTCTCTCAAAAATAAATAAACATTTTAAAAAATCAAAATAAATAAATAAATAAATAAATAAAATTTTTGTTTAAAAAAATAGAAAATAGGGTTACGTCCTGAGGTTCAGAGTGGACACGACTTTTGGGAGAACACTATGGAACATGCTGCATGAGGGAACATATAAGTTAGTAAGAGAGATAAGACAATGGTGATTGGTTAACATACAAGGCAAAACATATGTTCTTTGAGAGACTTGTAAGGAAAGAGTTATGGGCATAAAAAGGAAAAGATGTTGGGGTGCCTGGGTGGCTCAGTGGGTTGAGCATCTGACCCTTGGTTTCGGCTCAGGTCACGATCTCACGGTTTCATGGGTTTGAGCCCCACAGCAGGCTGTGTGCTGGCAGCGTGGGGCCTGCTTGGAATTCTCTCTCTCCCTCTCTCTCTCTCTGCCCCTCCCCGGCTCGGTCTGTCTCTCAGAAAAATAAATAAATAAATAAAACGTAAAAAAAATTACAAAAAAAAAAAAGGAAAAGATGTTCCCATTCCGCAGATCTGGAGGAAACTGGTAGATAAAGTAATTGAAGAAATAGGCCTGGTCGGAGGAGAGACATCTTATAAGGTAGGACATTTCTGGAAGGGGAGAAAGCCTAAGTACAAAAACAGAGAAAACGAGGGTTGCTCAGGAACTGTGGGATTCTACTTACGGTATTATTTTGAATAATCATTGGCCACTTTATATGTGACATGCACCTTGATCACACGTGCCCAGCACAGTGCTCTGCACACACGGGTCAGTTAATATTTATTGACCGGTAACATGGAAAAGCTTAACTCCGCCTCTCCAACCGAAATTCTTGAATTGCTAAGCTAAGCTCTGTGGTCCCACGTGCTATTTTTCACCAACAGGCACTAAATAACATAATCAATGTAACGATGACAATACAACTAATTCAGACAAACAGCTAATTAAAGTTGAGCCAAGAAGGGTAACATGGCCCTCATTACTGAATTGACTAATTATTTTCTCGATTCCTGGAACAAATTCCCCCTTTGCTGTCCTATCATGCAACAAACTGAGGGTTTACAGCATGCAAGGGACTGACTAGGGAAATCAGCAATGAACAGCATAGACCGGTCCCTGTTCTGTCCCAGTCACAGGTGAACATGTAACCCAAACGCTCATATGTCATCCGCCAGTGACTGCAACAGGAGGTCCCGTGTCTTTTCATACCCAGATTATGATGACTCTGGCTTCCCACCTGTCGACTTCCCAAGGGCCTCGTTCAACAGATATTCCCAAACAGTCGTGAGGTTGCCTACTTTGGTTTGCTGACTGCCAATGCTGGAGGCCAGAAACCCAGGGACTTGATCTCTTCGCCTGACTCCTAACTGCTGCTTCCAGATTGCCCTGCGTGCAGGAGGAGGAGCCGGGGGCCATGGCCCGCTCTGCCTAAGTCATCCTAGCTTTCTGCAGAGACTGCCCTCTGCTACCAGGATCCCGCTGTCCCAGGCATGGTCCAGTCTCTGTTTAGCATCTGAGATGCCCACAGGCTTAAGCCTCTGCCTGGTCACTTGATGGTTTAAGCTCCGTCTCCTGCACTTGCGCTCGGCCTCCTCTGGGTGCACCTGTCACTTCTCCGCTCTCATTGGCAGGGGCTATCCATCAAATGGCACTGAGAGGACCAATATATCAGAATCTCAGGGAACCACAGGATGCAAGGGATTTCATTAACTACTTGTTCCAGCTGCTTCGTCTTACAGAGGTTAAAAGATTTTTTCCAAGGCCATACATATAACTGTATAATTTTATTGATACTTAACTTTATTATCAGTCTCTTGTATAACCACCCTTGAGCTGATGTGAAAAGAGCACCGCAAACCGGGTGGCCTCAACAACATAAGTGGGTCCTCTTACATTTCTGGAGACTGGAAGCCTGAGGTCAAGGCATCAGCAGAATCGGCTTCTTCTGTGGCTGTGAGGGAGAGCCTGTCCCACACCTCTCCCCTAGCGTCTGTGGTGTCCTTGGCTGGTAGATGACGCTTCATCCTGATGCTTGCCCTCGTCTTCACGTGGCATTCTCCCTACGTGTACATCTGTGTCCAAATTCACCCTTTGTATGAGGCCACCAGTCAGATGAGATCAGGAGTCCACCCTACTCTGGGGTGACTTCGTCTAACCAGTTACAGCCACAGGGACCCTATTCCCCAACTAGGTCAGCTC